GAAACTACTTTTCTAACTGAAAATTTTACAGAAAAAAAAAAAAAAAAAAAAAAGAAAAGAAATAGGAAAAAATAAAACAAAACAAACAAAAAAAAAACAACTTAAAATGGTTCCCACAGAAAAATGAGAGGTCAAAGAAGAAGAAAACTCTATCCTTGTTAGTTTCAACCTGAGATGGATTTACCTTCCTCCCAACAAGGTCCTGCGCCTGCACCTTCCAGGGCTTCATGAAGGCTTATAATAATGTACCATGTTGGTAAAATACCTTTCCACTATTTTGCTAACAAATTATAAAGCTTTACACGCCATTAAACTTTTTCTATTTCTGTTTTTATCTTTGGAGTAGTGTGCAAGGTTTGCCTGAGCGTATAAGAAAAATAAAGCCACAAAGCTTCAACTACTTTAATTCACTGAACCCACAATCCTAATTCACAATACTAGGATTAGTATGTAATCGTAAAAAGCAAAATATCACCTATGTCAAAACTATCAACTCTTTCTCCACCTCTCAACTGCCACCTTTGACCCACTAAGCGAAATTTGAAGAAGCTTTAAATTTCTCTCTTAAACCACTGATATCAAATTTATTTTTTAAAAAAATGCACTTCATGATTACTCTTAAGAGTATATTAAAAGATTAGAGTAATATAATGGAGGAAGAATACTGAGCCCACCCTCAGAAATTATAGTCCCAATGATCTACCCTGTAAACATGGACATAACTTTTTTAGGCCATTAAAATTTGGAATCTAAATATTGCAAGGGATATAGTCTGCTAAACAGATCCCTACACTAGTATGCCTAATGTCAGTTTTTCCTAAACAAACCATCTTTTTTCTTCTTTTATTTTAAAGGAACAAAAATTAATTAAAAAGAAAACAGCACGGGAGAGATAGCTCAGCAGTCTAAAGCACCTGCTTAGACAAGCTTAGGCATGCGCAGAGGATGGCAGTTGAATCCCCAGCACCACATGTTGTGCCAGCCCACCCTCAGGGAAGACTGAGCCAGCCTAAATGAATAAATCAATAAATATTAGAAATGATTCAGAATTTCAAGAAAACAAGATGACAGGAATTCAGCAATGGTTGCGACATTGCATATTATTGTCTTCAAAGTAGCCGCTCAGAATACCAGATATAAGCATGTAAAATCCTTTCCAAATTAAGAAATTCTCAAATATTACATATGAGGACCTTAAAAAGAACTGAATTGAGAAAAACAGTCTCCTTTTGGGAGACGACGCCAGATGCCTACGTGTGTCTGCGCAGGAGGACGGCACTGGTCGCTGCTTACCGTGGGCTCTTCATTGATGAGAAAGCTGGTCTCTCTGCTACTCAGGCTCTGTTAATGGCACCAGAGGGAGGAAATAATTCTGTTAATAATAGCATAAGTAAAATAACTAGAACAAGTAAGTTTCCATAACAAAAAAAATCTAGTTTGTCCAAGACAAAATACTAAACCTGGGGCTCAAAAGGACCATGAAACCTATTAACACGTGTGCACAGTTAGGTGCACATATGTTCACATATGTAGGTGCAGGAATCTGCATGTGTCTGTGTGGAGACTGACAGGGCGCTTAAGAGAGACTAAGAAACTGGAGTCCGCTTTATTTATCAACAGAATGGCAGGTGACACAAGAAATGGGTAATAAATGGGTACGACAATAATTCCTACAGTGCAGGGAAATAAAATTAAAAAATACTGAATTCTGATCAAGACCAGCAAGGAAGGGCAGACTTCATTAGCTACTCTGTGCCTTTAAACATGGGCTTGAAATTATGAAAATGAAGACTTTGGAAAATGCACCTTCAAGGGCTTCAGAGAATTTCCACAATTATAATGAAAAGAGAAAAAATCAATAGATGACCATGAATACACATAACTCACTTGCAAATCAGGTTTGAAAAAAGGAAATAAAATTTGTTATGGACATAGTTATTAAAATTCTGGGGAACATGAAAAATACTACAAAGAAGCCATAGTACCTTTGAGGTCCTGAGGACAAAGAGATCATTTGGAACAGGTAACAATTTGTATAGGAGTTTATTCAATGTAAGTTAGTCCACAAAAAGTTGAAAATAATCTGTGGCATTAAAGGGACACTGAACCAGGAGGGAAAAGCTGTAGGGGACTAAGAATTTACAAATCAACACGTGCTGAAATCCACCTTCACTTACACTTCATTCTGCCTGCTGAGGACTCATGCAGGAGTTCCCTTAACTCATGAAAGACTATCAGAAATTAAATACAACTAAAGTATGTCAATTCTGAAAGAGCAGACTAAAACTACACTAAGCAACTATGTTTTCACATTAAGGCAATAAATATAGACTACTTTTATATTAAGTCCTGATGTTTTTTAAGTTGTCCTACACAAAGAGCAGTTGTTTTGCTTATAAAATGGTATGAGAAAACTATACAATAAATACTCAAAAAGTAACGAGTTAGTAACCTGAAAATCAGTAAAAGTAGTTTTGCTGCAATTTCCAATCAAATCCTGTGGTCCTACGTTGAGTGTGCCAAATACAAGATTGTCCTCTGACAAGTAGATTGGCATCTCACTTTTCATCGCCCTCTGCCAGCTAAAAGGAGAATGCAAGCTGCCCTCGATTCTACAGCGTCCCTGGAGGTCCTGGTCCTGGTGCTCCCTTCCTGACCCCAGCCATGACAGAAGCTCATGAGGCGGTCAGAATGGAATGAGATGAATAAATGATGAGTGACACAGACCCATGCTCGGAGCACCAAGAAATAATCTCTAGAGGAGCACAGAAACCATACGGAACAGTGTTTGGACAGAGAAATTCAAAAACAAATAGCATAACTTCTGTACAGGCTTCTTTTAGTTTTGTATATATGTAAGGTATATAACATGGTGTTACAAGATACACATATAAGTACAACAGTTACTGTAACAGAGCAAATTAACATATCTATCATCTCAGGTAGCTACCTACCTTCTCTCTGGCCCAAAGATAAAGGTAGTTATAATATATTAATTCAGCAGGTATCTATAGTATGTATGCATATGTATGCAACAATAAAAAAGACGCTGCATTGTTTAGACATATTTTCTCTGCATGAGTTGAGATGTTTATGTAACTTTCCATTCTGTAATTGGGACATATTACACTGGTTTTTTTTGTTTGTTTGTTTTGTTTTCTTAAGCAGGACAATCCTATGACTTTTTGCGACATGCTTACATTTTCAATTCGACATAACATAACCCTTTTAACCAATCTTCTGTATCTAATATATAAGAAATCTTTACCTAGCTAATTATCCTTGAGTGGGACATACATCGCAAGGTGTTTTCTCTCCCCACCCTCTTTCAAATTTGGATGAGAGTCTTACCACTACGTTGCCAGCTTGGAGGGCTGCAGAAGGCCATTCTAGATATTTTTCTCCTTATTTCCTCCCCCACATACTGGTCAATCTATGGGGCATATAGATTACAGGGTATATTACAGGGTATCGGAGCACTGCAACAGGGGTTGCCCAGTCCTGCAGCTATTGTTTACATTTTTCCCTTATGGTATCACTTTTCTCTCTCCCTTCCTTCCTTCCTTCCTTCCTTCCTTCCTTCCTTCCTTCCTTCCTTCCTTCCTTCCT